GATATGTTCGTGTTTGTCTCCTTGTGATAGCGCGGAACTGATGCCGACTTTATAGTGCTACCTCACTGAGACATACTGCCGAAGACACCCAGCAGGACGCCTCACCCGGTCACATTATACTGACAACGGGCGAACCAGTCGTCCCACTCCTAATTTGCTGAGCGTTAAGCAGGAGTAGAAACTACCATTTTTAAAGACTTTGGTATGTCTCGGCCAGGGGACAGAACCCAAAGCCTTCCTCACAGGGGCGAACGCTCAACAAATGGCCAAAAGTGAGGCATTGTCAAGGGAGACATTAGGAAAAAGAAAGTTATTTAGAAAGGAGAGAAGAGATAAGGTCCCAAATTTAGTCGCCTCTTACGATCATGCAATTGGGGGCAGCAGGTACAATTCTTACGCCCTACCTGCAGGGTAAACTATATAATGCATACAAAGGCTACAGAAGCTATATATACAAGGTTAAATAATTTGACATGTCAAAATTAATTGCTGTATAACAAACCAGGTACATATAGTTTTAGTTGGTATAATAACACATTCCTGCAATGACAATCTATTTGATCAAATAGTCGAATACGTTATACATGCATACACAGCTGGCGTACATTGGCTGTCTTCCATTTCAGGTCAAGCCGTAGTTTGGTACTCTGATTGATGATCAGTATTGGCAATAAATAGACAATAATTCTGTCACATTTCTGAACACTCTGCCTCTGTTTCATTGTCAGTACGGTCATAAAGAAATCTCGACCGAGTTCGCCACATGATAATGTATAATCTTCCATTACTAAAAGGCAATTCGCTTATACGCATGCAAGGACATAAATTATCAATCAACAAGCACCTCACTGAGTGCATTATGTATTAAACATTTGTGTGAACAAGACGTTTGCATTGATATACATTTCTGATTCGGTAATTTCCGGATAATGTCGTTGATACTTTTTTTACTAATTATTATCTTTCAGTGAATGTCAAATCGGCGTATGGACAAGATAATTTTTGTCATTCGGCCATCCTGGAAGTATCCGGACGTACCTCGATTCTGTTAAAAAAGAACATTGGCGCTGAATTGGAACAAAAAGTGCCTATTCTAAATTTCGAAACAGGAAGTGTCCGGATATAATTAATTTATTTTAGAATATCATTTCTTATATTCAAAAAAGAAATTTAACAAACTGAACTGTACTTTATTGAAATTTATCCTTTTTTCGGATTCCGCCTTTAGCTGAAGATTCAAAGGAAAACATTCACTCTTTGTATACTTCTTATATTTAACATGGAGAACTTCGTTGGGATTTTTCTTATTTTGCTGAGTTTAATTTGCCCGATGGAGACCCGTCATCTAAGAGGGGTAAGCATTCCTATTTTGTTTATTTTTACTTTCAAAAATGATCATGTTCTAAACATATTTTTGAACGTTATCGATATCTCTGTTTATGTTATTTTGTACTTTTAAGGTTTTTAATGGAAAAGAAGAAAAAAATGATATTTCTTTTAAAGTATTACAGGAAATATTACTGATTTATCATTATTTTGTTATGCAATACAGTCTTTTTATCGTGTATAGTTGAGTTATTCGCAAGTTATTGAAATGTGTTTATCAATTGTAATCATACTATACACATGTAATTAAAAGAAAAAAATGCCTCAATAAGGTTTTTGATAAATTTTGCTTTACCAGTTGTAATTGTTGCCAACTTATCAGTTGTAAACAAAATTTTATTTCAGATTATTATATCTTGTTTATGTTTAGCGGATTAAATTAAACACATGAATCATAAGTTCATTGTATTCAAAAGATGTAAATCAGATTGTTTAATTTTGATAATGCACGGTTAGATCGGAAAAAAATTATGTCATTTTTAAACACGTGTGTACAGTCCGGTTTCTAGGGGAATACCAAATTAATAACTAACAAAATGTTTATCACATATGGATATATCACAAGGATAAATAATTTACGTCATTTTAGTTGTAAAGTTACTGAAATTATTACCAACGGAGTAATATTTTTCTTTACACTTTTTATTGTTGTTGAAAATTATCACGTGGTTATCATACCATGATCAGAGGCGTGTGCATCCGTTATATAGAGGTTCTAGTTCAAGGTCTTTATTACCTCGAGTCTTTCGACTCATTGATTTCAAAAACTGAGATGTTTTCCACAACATGTACAGACACAGTGCTCTTTCGTCAAATATCGTTTGTATTCATGCAATCAGCGTTTGTTCTCTCAATGCAGTTTTGATGCCCATCGCTTTCCCATGAAACATCATCCCGATCCCACTATAAATCCTTGCACCCTTTCTCTTTCTTTTCCATGCACGTGTTATACTTTATATATATATATATATATATATATTTATATGAATTATAATATTGTCAGTACTGATCCATAGCTGCTGTTATGTCTATAAGGAGACGGATTTACATAAGTACTATGTACTTGTTTCTGGATCCTTTTCTGTATTTATAACCATGTACTATTGTAATTTAACATCAATAACATAAAGTTTAAAGTAAAAGTGAGATATTTACAATATTTACATCCCATACCATATTGGTAGCATGTTTGATAGAAAGTTGAAATTTTGACTGTCCTTAAGGACCCTCCAACCACTGCCAAAAATATGAAACTGTGCATTCTTAACTTATTTTCCGAAATGGCAATATCTTTGACAAAACATGTTTGGAAAGAAAAGTATACCTTGTGTGACTTTTATAAAGAGATAAAATCGTGTTCTGGGTGCAATAAAACACAGCGTGGCTACACCAGTATTCGAGCTTGAACTTCAAATTGTAATACTGTCACACTGACCGTGTTACTTTTAAACGTACAACAGTAGAAGAATTGTGTCTGAATGTTGTTTAAGTTGGTTATATAGAGTGAAAACTGTGTAATCTGACCCCTGAGTAATCCGACATCGTGTCGAATCTGAAATTCGTGTGCATTCCCGCTTCTTATTAACACATCCAGGTAAAACCTATTCATTAAGACCTGATCATGCAATACTTCCGATTAAACAGGTTCTACGGATAATTCCGAGTTTTGACGGATTACACAGGTTTCACTATATACATCGCAGTGTGTCGGACTAGACAGATTGAAACCATGTAAAATATCAATTACAAGAACAAACAAAAATTATCAATAGATAAAATAAAATAAAAATAAATAATCTGTAAAATAAAAAAAGGAAATGCCAGCATCCAGCATTTTTTTTTTTATATTATGCTTTTATTGTCTGTGAAAATGTAACATCGTGGTATTTATGATATATCCTGCCGTCAGTCTATCATACGTTTATGTTATATTAGTATTATAAGAAGGGAGACAACTCTGACAAATCATATGTTAGGTATCATTTACCCTTAACGTTATCAAAAATAACAAGCTCAAGATAGCAAATCTCATTGATTTATAGTAAAATTACAGTTTCATGTGAAATATTACATTCACTCTAACATAGGTCTACATATTAAGCTAGGATATCCCCTTAACGCTAACAAGTTAACTATAGCATATCCCTTAACGCTAACAAGTTGTATATAGCATATCCCTTAACGCTAACAAGTTAACTATAGCATATCCCTTAACGCTAACAAGTTAAATATAGAATATCCCTTAACGCTAACAAGTTAACGATAGCATATCCCTTAACCCTAACAAGTTAACTATAGCATACCCCTTAACGCTAACAAGTTAACTATAGCATACCCCTTAACGCTAACAAGTTAAATATAACATATCCCCTTAACGCTTACAAGTTAAACATAGCATATCCCCTTAACGCTAACAAGTTGTATATAGCATATCCCTTTAACGCTAAACAGTTACATGTACATAAAGCATATCCCCTTAACGCTAAACAGTTACATGTAAATAAAGCATATCCCCTTAACGCTTACAAGTTAGATATAGCATATCCCCTTAACGCTAACTAGTTAAAAATAGCATATCCCCTTAACGCTAACAAGTAAAATATGGCATATCCCCTTAACGCTAACAAGTTAAATATAGCATATCCCCTTAACGCTAACAAGTTAAATATAACATATCCCCTTAGCGCTAACAAGTTAAATATAGCATATCCCCTTAACGCTTACAAGTTGAATATAGCATATCCCCTTAACGCTAACAAGTTGTATATAGCATATCCCCTTAACACTAACAAGTTAAATATAGCATATCCCCTTAACGCTAACAGGTTTTATATATAGCATATCCCCTTTAACGCTAACAAGTTGTATATAGCATATCCCGTTATCGCTAACAAGTTAAATATACCATATCCCCTTAACGCTAACAAGTTAAATATAGCATATCCCCTTAACACTAACAAGTAAAATATGGCATATCCCCTTAACGCTAACAAGTTAAATATAGCATATGCCCTTAACGCTAACAAGTTAAATATAGCATATCCCCTTAACGCTAACAAGTTAGATATAGCATATCCCCTTAAATTTTATAGTTTTTAAGTGAAAAATATCACTGAATCTATCAAGTTTAAGATAGAATATCTCCTCAAATCAACGACAAAGTAAAGGTCAAAGGTATGCTAACTTCTTATTAATTCAAAGATGTATGGCAGCATACCTCCTTAACTTTAACACAAATTGCAGGCCAAATTGATAAGGTGACTTATTGTCTTAACAACTGTCTGTCTTCAGCATAGGTCATTATTGATATACATAAGGCCACGTGCACACTCGTTAACCTTGAACCCGGACATTTAGCAATCGCCTCGTTATGAAAGACCTGTCTGTCATAGCTACACATACAGACAGGTTGATGATCTTACGCGAGAACGGGATGATATGACTAAGTGTGTATTCATTGTTCGATGTGTCACTGTGCTTCCAGTAAATAGTACATAATGTTGAACGTTCGCCCAGGTTAGGAAGTGAATCTGTTCTGTCCTGAATCCGGGACATACCAATGTCCTTAAAAATGATAGCTATTATTACCTGCTAAACATTCAACATCTAGAGTAATGGCGGGAACTGGTCAACCCCTTGTAAGTTTAATGTGACTGGGAGCGATACTGTGCTGGGTGCCTTCGGTTTGGTACTTCAGTGAGGTAGCACTCTAAAGTCGACAGCATATCCGTGCTATCACAAGGAGGCAAAACACAAATATGAAGCCTCCAGCTTACACACAAACATGCACACACTAATATAACATGTGTCGATTTGACCAAATTTATAGAAGCGGCAAATGTAAGAAGAAACCAATTAACTTATTAGGTTACACTCTCCATACTGTTTGTACATCGCTGGTATTGTATGTATTGTATGTATTGTATTGTATTGAAGTTTCTGTCAATATTGTAGATATGTCTTTTTTTCAACGACTTAAGGTAATAAAGAACTTGAACTTGTATGTATGCTGGTGGCATGTCCTTAAAAAGCCTCATCTGCTCATAGGACGGATCAGAATATCACTGTTTAACTCACTTACTATAGATGTATTCAAAGTGACTGGTTTGTTTCAACGGTATTCCGTGTTTAACTCACTTACTGTAGATGTATTCAAAGTGACTGGTTTGTTTTAACGGTATTCCGTGTTTAACTCACTTACTATAGATGTATTCAAAGTGACTTGTTTGTTTTAACGGTATTCCGTGTTTAACTCACTTACTATAGATGTATTCAAAGTGATTGGTTTGTTTTAACGGTATTCCGTGTTTAACTCACTTACTATAGATGTATTCAAAGTGACTTGTTTGTTTTAACGGTATTCCGTGTTTAACTCACTTACTATAGATGTATTCAAAGTGATTGGTTTGTTTTAACGGTATTCCGTGTTTAACTCACTTACTATAGATGTATTCAAAGTGACTGGTTGGTTTCAACGGTATTCCGTGTTTAACTCACTTACTGTAGATGTATTCAAAGTGACTGGTTTGTTTTAACGGTATTCCATGTTTAACTCACTTACTGTAGATCTATTCAAAGTGACTGGTTTGTTTTAACGGTATTCCGTGTTTAACTCATTTTCTACTGGTGTATTCACAGTAACTAGTTAGTTTTAACGGTATTCCGTGTTGAACTCATTTTCTACTGGTGTAATCTTAGTGACTGGTTTGTTTTAACGGTATTCCGTGTTTAACTCATGTTCTACAGGTGTAATCTTAGTGACTGGTTTGTTTTAACGGTATTCCGTGTTTAACTCATGTTCTACTGGTGTATTCACAGAAACTGGTTAGTTTTAACGGTATTCCGTGTTTAACTCATTTTCTACTGGTGTAATCTTAGTAACTGGTTTGTTTTAACAGTATTCCGTGTTTAACTCATTTTCTACTGGTGTATTCACAGTAACTGGTTAGTTTTAACGGTATTCCGTGTTTAACTCATGTTCTACAGGTGTAATCTTAGTGACTGGTTTGTTTTAACGGTATTCCTTGTTTAACTCATGTTCTACTGGTGTATTCACAGTAACTGGTTTGTTTTAACGGTAATCCATGTTTAACTCATGTTCTACATGTGTAATCTTAGTGACTGGTTTGTTTTAACGGTATTCCGTGTTTAACTCATGTTCTACTGGTGTAATCTTATTGACTGATTTGTTTTAACGGTATTCCATGTTTAACTCATGTTCTACAGGTGTAATCTTAGTGACTGGTTTGTTTTAACGGTATTCCGTGTTTAACTCATGTTCTACTGGTGTATTCACAGTAACTGGTTTGTTTTAACGGTATTCCGTGTTTAACTCATGTTCTACAGGTGTAATCTTAGTGACTGGTTTGTTTTAACGGTATTCCGTGTTTAACTCATGTTCTACTGGTGTATTCACAGTAACTGGTTTGTTTTAACGGTATTCCGTGTTTAACTCATGTTCTACAGGTGTAATCTTAGTGACTGGTTTGTTTTAACGGTATTCCGTGTTTAACTCATGTTCTACTGGTGTATTCACAGTAACTGGTTTGTTTTAACGGTATTCCGTGTTTAACTCATGTTCTACAGGTGTAATCTTAGTGACTGGTTTGTTTTAACGGTATTCCGTGTTTAACTCATGTTCTACTGGTGTATTCACAGTAACTGGTTTGTTTTAACGGTATTCCGTGTTTAACTCATGTTCTACAGGTGTAATCTTAGTGACTGGTTTGTTTTAACGGTATTCCGTGTTTAACTCATGTTCTACTGGTGTATTCACAGTAACTGGTTTGTTTTAACGGTATTCCGTGTTTAACTCATGTTCTACAGGTGTAATCTTAGTGACTGGTTTGTTTTAACGGTATTCCGTGTTTAACTCATGTTCTACTGGTGTATTCACAGTAACTGGTTTGTTTTAACGGTATTCCGTGTTTAACTCATGTTCTACAGGTGTAATCTTAGTGACTGGTTTGTTTTAACGGTATTCCGTGTTTAACTCATGTTCTACTGGTGTATTCACAGTAACTGGTTTGTTTTAACGGTATTCCGTGTTTAACTCATGTTCTACAGGTGTAATCTTAGTGACTGGTTTGTTTTAACGGTATTCCGTGTTTAACTCATGTTCTACTGGTGTATTCACAGTAACTGGTTTGTTTTAACGGTATTCCGTGTTTAACTCATGTTCTACAGGTGTAATCTTAGTGACTGGTTTGTTTTAACGGTATTCCGTGTTTAACTCATGTTCTACTGGTGTATTCACAGTAACTGGTTTGTTTTAACGGTATTCCGTGTTTAACTCATGTTTTACAGGTGTAATCTTAGTGATTGGTTTGTTTTAACGGTATTCCGTGTTTAACTCATGTTCTACTGGTGTATTCACAGTAACTGGTTTGTTTTAATGGTATTCCGTGTTTAACTCACTTACTATAGATGTATTCCAAGTGACTGGTTTATTTTAACGGTATTCCATGTTTAACCATGTTCTACAGGTGTAATCTTAGTGACTGGTTTGTTTTAACGGTATTCCGTGTTTAACCATGTTCTACTGGTGTAATCTTAGTGACTGATTTGTTTTAACGGTATTCCGTGTTTAACTCATGTTCTACTGGTGTAATCTTAGTGACTAGTTTGTTTTAACGGTATTCCGTGTTTAACTCATGTTCTACTGATGTAATCTTAGTGACTGGTTTGTTTTAACGGTATTCCGTGTTTAACTCATGTTCTACAGGTGTATTCACAGTAACTGGTTTGTTTTAACGGTATTCTGTGTTTAACTCATGTTCTACTGGTGTATTCACAGTAACTGGTTTGTTTTAACGGTATTCTGTGTTTAACTCATCTTCTATAGATGTATTCAAAGTGACTGGTTTGTTTTAACGGTATTCCGTGTTTAACCCATGTTCTACAGGTGTAATCTTAGTGACTGGGTTGTTTTAACGGTATTCCGTGTTTAACTCATGTTCTACAGGTTTAATCTGAGTGACTGGTTTGTTTTAACGGTATTCCGTGTTTAACTCATGTTCTACAGGTGTAATCTTAGTGACTGGGTTGTTTTAACGGTATTCCGTGTTTAACCATGTTCTACTGGTGTAATCTTAGTGACTGATTTGTTTTAACGGTATTCCGTGTTTAACTCATGTTCTACTGATGTAATCTTAGTGACTGGGTTGTTTTAACGGTATTCCGTGTTTAACTCATGTTCTACAGGTTTACTCTGAGTGACTGGTTTGTTTTAACGGTATTCCGTGTTTAACCATGTTCTACCGGTGTAATCTTAGTGACTGATTTGTTTTAACGGTATTCCGTGTTTAACTCATGTTCTCCTGGTGTAATCTTAGTGACTGGTTTGTTTTAACGGTATTCCGTGTTTAACTCATGTTCTACGGGAGTAATCTTAGTGACTGGTTTGCTTTAACGGTATTCCGTGTTTAACCATGTTCTACCGGGGTAATCTTAGTGACTGATTTCTTTTAACGGTATTCCGTGTTTAACTCTTGTTCTACGGGTGTAATCTTAGTGAATGGGTTGTTTTAACGGTATTTCATGTTTAACTCATGTTCTACTGATGTAATCTTAGTGACTGGTTTCATGTTTAACCATGTTCTACAGGGGTAATCTTAGTGACTGATTTGTTTTAACGGAATTCCGTGTTTAACTCATGTTCTACGGGTGTAATCTTAGTGACTGGGTTGTTTTAACGGTACTCCATGTTTAAATCCTTTCCTACATAGATGATCATTCAATGGATTTTTTTTGGGAAAACTTGATTAGTTTTTAACTAACATCATATGACATCTCCAGCACACACGCAGGCATACACACCTAGGGAGATATAAGCCAGGTGGCATAGGACTAGTAGGTAGCGCTTGATAAGGCAGCTCCTGCAAATTCCTCAAAATTGTATTAATTCATGTATATATACTAATTGCATTAACTGTATATCTATGTACTTTAAAGCGCTTTAGAGTGGCTAATGTTATCTAGATAGGGCGCTATATCAAATGTTGTATATTATGAGTATTTTTATTAAATCGTTTTGGCTTTTATGTAAATTGTGTCCGTTATTAATGAGTGATTTGAACACCTTTTTCTGTTATTGTAGAGAATACCAACCACTACACAGATTAGCAAGTCACCGAGAAACATACCGCAGGGCAGCTCAACGAAAAATCTACAGGGAAACCCTACGTCAGCGGTATCTCAGCCATATTTAATAGTAAGGACACTAAATACAGACCAACGACGCAAACCACCCCAATCTACATCAGCCAATCAGATCAACAATTCCAATACATCAAAACTCAGAGCAGCCAAGCAAATAAATCCTTCACCTCGGCGATTGCGTATGAATACACAGGACTTAAAGGGACAAAAAAGTATCAATGTCAGAAAAAACATCGGTAGACCTTTCCAACAGAATTCACAACGAGCCTCTCTTATCATACCCCCTGTCGTTAAAATTAACCGTAATCAAGGGCGACAACTCTCCAAAGCATCAAGCAGAAATAATTTCGCACAGGTGTCCGGTAACAGAAATCAAAATGTGAGGATAACAAATAACCAAAATACACAAAGGGAAATAGCTTTATCTCGGGGACAGATGATACGAAGAACTGGACAATCAGTTGCTATGTTGAAGCGTGGAGCACGCACTGGCCAATTACCAAACCAAATTGTTAGAAAAATTCAAACCAAACGTGTTCCAAGTAACGTTGGGACTACTAGAGTTTTGAGGGGACGTGGTTCATTTATTCGTGGGCAGAGCAGCATCAAAGGTCCTTTAAGAAATTCCGGCAGTCTCCGATCAAGTAGCATGGTTCAACGCCACACCAGTAACAGAGGAGAGTTCAAACAAGGGGCGACAAATCAAATCAGAATTTTAACACAGACTGATACATCGAAGCTGCCAATGAAGGGTATTAATAGAAAGATTCCGATCATGACACAAAACACAGAAAGAGGGATGTGGAAAAATGTACCTGTTGCTCCTGGTTCTGTTCCCTTAGACCAATTGAAAAGTAACCAAGGAAACATACAAAAACAGGTATATTCTAATTCAGTCATACACTCCAAGCCTCTCATCAATCAGGGCCGCGCTGCTACGAGTTTAGCTAACTCCAAAAATAGGATATCTTCAACTCAAACTGCGCCGAATGGTAGGACGGTAATTGGCGGAAGTGGCGTATTAGGAAGTTCGTCAGCAGGAATAGCTACCAATAACGCTAAATCCGGGGTAGGGGTTGTTCAAAGCCATGCCCCAAATGGAACGATTTCTTTGGAACTTAATTTGAAGGCACCGAACACTCAAACAGCAGTAAATGTCAATAACGTTCAACCAGTTACGGGTCTTACAACCGGAAATAGCATAAATTCTGGTGTTGCCACTTCCGGTTTGGCCATAGTTTCAAGCTCCGCCGGAGGTGCAACCTCAACCAATGCAGCGTCTGGCCAGGTTTTACAGATTCAAAAAGTACACTCTGGAATGACATCTAACGGCAAAAAGAAAATGAGTCTGACACTGTCTTCTGGAAAATCAGGTATTTTCACTACTGCAACTATATAGCTTTTCCATTAGTTATGGATTACAAGTATAGTCAGAAGTTGTTCTAAAATTAGATTTTGATTTTAGTCAAGAAATTGTGAGCTTTCTGTTTAATTTTTTTTTCTAAAATAATATATTTACAATTGTCTTTGTTCTAAAACATGATTTTCAAATAATAAAACTACAAATAAAATACCAGAAATATTTAATAAAGAAATGAGGAATAAAATCTATTCCCTTTGAGGCACTTAATCTTTCTTCGATACGATTTATCAGTTTGGGAAAACAGTTCAATATCATATGCGTCAAAAAAAGTGAAAAATAAAAATTAATCATGTTTTTAAATTTAATTGGCTATCCATGTAAACCGGAAGTAGTTCATTTGAATTATTGTTTAAATTAAAAGTATATTCTGTCTTCTGAATGAAATCTTGAGTATCGAGCTGTTAAGGTGTTATTTTATTTTAGAAATAGACGTCTGCTGTGCTCTTAATATTTTTATAGTTAATTCAGTTATATTAACCAAATGCTTATAACCCATTATTTTTTGTTAAGGTGGTCAACCAATTGTCATAGAAGCTCTTGGAAACATTATCCTGTCACAGGAAAAGCTTCCAGATGGTCGAGTTCAGTTTGTTATCAAAACAGACACGCCCACTTCCGTTCCCACGGTCAAATCTACAATACCATCGACAACGGCCACGCCCACTACGACGGTAACCACAGCAACGTCCACAGTGACGATACCGTTAACAACCACCACTGCCATTCTACCAACAACCACTGTCACGCTCCCGACAAGCACAATATTTCTAGAGGAAACGGAAATGCCTGAACCTGGAGAGTTCACTCCCCCTCCTTCCGGTTTAGGGACAACTGAACCAATGTAGCTTCCTTTATTCTTCTATTTTCTTTTTATATTTTTGTATTAAAATATGTGTAAATTTCGTTTGTTTGAAAATACTGCGTTGGTCAATTCGAGTTAACAAAAAAATATTTCAAGAAATGAAATTAAAATATGGAGAAAAAGTCTGGCGTTTTTGTCTGAAAATACAATGTATTATTTTTTTATTTTTTTTGTTTGTTTGTTAAATTTTAAAGCAAAGAATATAATTTCATCACACTAGCTTGGTTATAAATGAAATGTTACAGTTATCCAATTTACGATTTACGGAGTTCCTCTTCACTTGAAATGTCATGTTTCAGTTCTTGATACACCAGTTCGTTTAATTATTTTTCACTTTCATGATCATTTCCTTTGCATGTGTCTGATTTTTGGTAATGAATCATTTGAGTATTGTAATGTGTTCAGTTATGTTAAGAATACGGTTCGCGTGTTTCTTATTCAATTTATGTTAACGGTTGAAATATTTCACAAAAAACAAAATTATCAAGTTGTTTAATTGCAGTAATAATGTTTCTCCGTCGATATTTTTCCATGTTTAAACTATTTTTCTTGTATATATTCCGTCTTTGCGTATTTCAGAGTTATCTTCCCTTGTGAGCAGGTATTGATTGTTACGTCATTGGTTTGCGTGAGAAAATTACGTCGTGTTCTCAAAAATTGATGACGTTACTCTCACAAATAAATGACATAACAATCAATACCTGCTCATTAGAGAAGTTAACTCTGCCATACGCAAAGCCGGAAAATGACAAAAAGTATTTTTTAGGATATTTATTTGGTTGTTGTATGTGTGTTTAATAGACTTTGAAATATGCTTGAGAACATCAAATGATGAAATCTACTTATTTCATTGTCCGTCGTATATGTATTGCTGTAAACGTACGATTTTAGCGCACTCGAAGTTTGGTGGATTATCAATTGTAAATATATTAGCGTGTTGGTGAATTAGCGCATCCACATAATATGCCATAGAAACCAATATACTGTTACTTCAATTAGCTAAAAGTTAATGTTGAAATGAAAAAGACTTCATCTGATGCATTAAATAGAGCATTTTATTCTCCTAAGTCATCATGAGGAGAGGTAAAGTACAAGTACACTTTTACACTTATAAATGTATCGACGCAAAAAACCAAACAAAGTAAAACCTACTGGACCAAATGGTCATTCGTCCCTTAATGACCCACCAGGGGTATTGAACAGGCTGATAGGTCATATTACATGGTACAATACACATGGGTATATTCACTAGATAACACAGTACATTATATGAAAAATATATATCCATGGAATAAACATGCATTTATCAATTTTATAATTCTTTCATCATGAGATTGAATTGAAGACTTGCTCAATACGTTTATTTCATTTAAGATAAGATAAATGTTTTAGTTTAAACATATTTTATTGCCAAAAAATGCAAGAGGATTGGGCACAAGTTACATGAACATTATCTATTAAAGATAAATGTATTTACTGATTTGAACAGATATTTTTGTATATTATTAATGCTATGTGTCGGTTGAATTAAAGATTTGCCCAATATGTCATAGGTTTTATAATTATATATGTATATTTATATATATCTGATATTGTGGTAAATATCCTTCCGGGTTCCATATTAGGTACAAGAGGTTACCCTCGCTTACGCTCTCTGCACCCCTGGAATCATCCTCGATACTCCAGGGGTTACCCTCTCTTACGCTCTCTGCACCCCTGTAATCATCCTCGATACTCCAGGGATTCCGGTCACTTACGCTCTCTGCACCCATGGAATAATCCTCGATACTCCAGGGGTTTCGCTCTCTTACGCTCTCTGCACCCCTGGATTCATCTTCGATACTCCAGGGGTTCCCCTCGCTTACGCTCTCTGCAACCCTGGAATCATCCTCGATACACCAGGGGTTACACTCGCTTACGCTCTCTGCACCCCTGGAATAATCCTCGATACCCCAGGGGTTACCCTCACTTACGCTCTCTGCACCCCTGGATTCATCCTCGATACTCCAGGGATTCCGGTCACTTACGCTCTCTGCACCCCTGGATTCATCCTCGATACTCCAGGGATTCCGGTCACTTACGCTCTCTGCACCCCTGAAATCATCAACGATACTCCAGGGGTTACCCTCCCTTACGCGCTCTGCACCCCTGGAATCCTCCTCGATACTCCAGGGGTCACACTCGCTTACGCTCTCTGCACCCCTGAAATCATCAACGATACTCCAGGGGTTAGCCTCGCTTACGCTCTCTGCACCACTGGAATCATCCTCGATACTCGAGGGATTACGCTCACTTACGCTCTCTGCACCCATGGAATAATCCTCGATACTCCAGGGGTTACCCTCGCTAACGCTCTCTGCACCCCTGGAACAATCCTCGGTACTCCAGGAGTCACCGTCGCTTACGCTCTCTGCACCCTTGGAATCATCCTCGATACTCCAGGGGCTACCCTCACTTACGCGCTCTGCACCCCTGGAATCCTCCTCGATACTCCAGGGGTCACACTCGCTTACGCTCTCTGCACCACTGGAATCATCCTCGATACTCGAGGGATTACGCTCACTTACGCTCTCTGCCCCCCTGAAATCATCAACGATACTCCAGGGGTTACCCTCTCTTACGCTCTCTGCACCCCTGTAATCATCCTCGATACTCCAGGGGTTCCCCTCGCTTACGCTCTCTGCACCCTTTGAATCATCCTCGATACACCAGGGGTTACCCTCACTTACGCTCTCTGCATCCCTGAAATCATCAACGATACTCCAGGGGATACCCTCGCTTACGCTCTCTGTACCCCTGGAATCATCCTCAATGCTCCAGGGGTTACCCTCGCTTCCGCTCTCTGCACCCCTAGAATCATCCTCGATACTCCAGCGGTTACTGTCACTTTCGCTCTCTGCACCCCTGGAATCGTCCTCGATACTCCAGGGGTTACCCTCTCTTACGCTCTCTGCACCCCTGGAATCATACTCGATACTCCAGGGGTTACCCTAGCTTACGCTCTCTGCACCCCTGGAACAAGCCTCGATACTCGAGGGGGCACCCTCGCTTACGCTCTCTGCGCCCCTGGAATCATCCTCGATACACCAGGGGTTACACTCGCTTACGCTCTCTGCACCCCTGTAATCATCCTCGATACTCCAGGGATTACGCTCACTTACGCTCTCTGCACTCTTGGAATATGTCTTAGCAACACTGAAGGCTCACCTTGTAGGTGAGACAAGAAGACTAGTTCGATCCTTTGATGTACTTCAAAAGAATCTCGCAGTCACATAACTGTAAAAATTAACAGGCTTTGAAGTCGGTTGTCGTTCCTTTGTAATCTTCAAAGGACAGGTATCAGCCTAGCGATTGGTCATATTCGTTTACCTTTTTTCTCTTTTGTAGCAATTTTGAGATTAGATAATTTGTCTATATTTATGTTTGACGATGTGGTATATATTGCCTGTGCTTTTGTTATGTATTTTAGTTCAGTCATTATATAACGCATCAGCCGTTATCAAAATGGCAATAAGTGAATATTTTGTAAATTATCTTCTCCAAAAAAAGGTAATGTCATAACTGATTCAATAATTTGAATTCATGGCATGAATATTATAAATAACATAAGCAGACATGATAAGGAAACAAGTACTAATCATCTTCTAATCTTTCTTACAAACAAGTATATTCAAATTACAATTTATTTATTTTTATATATTTTTTTTTTTTTTTTTCAACAATACATTAAACATAACACATCATATTTCAGTCTCACATTCTTAATTTTCACACAATTTGTTTGTTTGTCTTGACATTTTTTTAACATTCTTATATCATTACATCAATTTGGATACCAATGCAGAAAAACAAATATTTTCTTTATGAGTTTGAAACAAGATACATAGAATAATATTATATGCAATGTTGTTGAGAAGCAAACAAATACAAAAAAAAAACAAAAAAAAACCAGTTTGACTATTTTCACATGCTGAAACCAGGATGTTAGGTGTTATGTACCATTGTTCTGTTTTAGAAGAAGATATAGGAAAGAAAAGAGTAATAAAGAGAGAGAGGGACAAGAAAGAAAAGGAAGGTTGGAGAGGTTACAAATATTTGATAGTACTACAGGTGTATGTAGACGATTATGAGTAGTGTTTGAGTGCATCAAGGCCTAAACAGATCCGTACTCGAGCAAATGAATAGCACATGTCTTTGATAAGATTCATTTGGAAATATGTAATATCAAAGTTTTACTTTATACCACAAACAATATACGTACATACTTTGTCAAGCTTTTTATTTGATAGCTTGACAAAGGGACCAGTCAGTCTTGGAACGTCGTGACACGTTTAATACGTACATTGTTTGTGAATAAAGTAAAACTTTGATATTTATTATAACACATGTTATAAAAGGTTTTCAATTGTTTTTTAGTGAGAACAAATAAGGTAAAATTAATTGTGGTTTGATGCCTGTGTACACAAAGGGAGAGCATGTAAATAGTTGGTAATAATAGTCTTTTTTTTACATAAACATTGATATATCATACTTATACAGCAGCATGTCAGAGTTTGACTGTTTTCTAATTGTTCTCGATGAACTTTATTGTTATTTTATTTATGAGAATAAATTACAGAACAACAATGCGTTGTTGTTGTTGCTTTTGTTTTTTTCTTTTTCAATGTGTCACTTCGTCAGATCAATCAACCATTTGTATAAAAGTATACTTCACCTGAGTTACTATTGTTATTTTGATTTTTTATGACGTCATTTCGACCGATCAATCAAACCGTTATTTACAAGTATACCTCACCTGGGAAATCATCATTACTAGCTATTATACAATGATAGAAATATTGTACAAATTGACATGATGTACATATACATATTTCTGTATCATATTATACCAATGGACCAACGGGCCCGTATTCATGACGCCGTTCTCATGCTAAAGCATGGATTTTTGTTTTGCTCTAGCCTAATTTCTTGTTCTGTTTATAC